AATCCTAAACCTAATCCTAACCTTACTCTCAGTGACTTTTTGACTTTTTAAAATGCAGCTTTTATAAAAAAAGTCCTAAAAATGTACAAAAGTAGACACACAGACACAGAAGATAAAAGCTCGTCACAGTGACTGCTATTACAAAAACAGAAAACCATATCCCTTAAGAGAAAATCTGCATTATGAAATTAAATTATTGCATCAGAATTTTTGGGATTGAACTTCAAGTGATTTGGGGTTTATTTATTTTTATGTATGTATTCCAAAACTACTAAAGCCTTTCCAGTTCACTACAGTGAGTTTGACTGTATGGGCATTAATTATTCATGCAGATTATGTTAATACTATGTAAATACACTATGACTGAGGGATGACCCCATTTATTATGAATGGCCAGAGGTAGTAGGTGAAAAGTCGCTTGCTGCCTACGGCCATGGCTATAAAGCCCAGCGTGCACACACACACACACACACACACACACACGCACACACACACACACACTTTCACCCTGAATGACCTACATTTTCAAAAGCTACTTTAATAAGCCTTAAAGATAGATGCTAATTTAAAATTTCAAGGCGAGGTCTCGCACACTACACACACACACACAACACACACAGGTTTGGTTTTATACAATGTTAGGATAGGGGGCCGTACATACGTCCCATGTGTATTATATTTATATAAGTACCTCCATGTGATAATAATATGTCTTATATGTTTTATATATGCAAGTATCTGCATGTAATAATGTGTCCTTTATATATGTATGTAAGTAAGAATGTATGTAAAACTACTGTCCAGCATGTATTATATATTATATATTATATACCTGTGGCAATGGGACCGAATGGAACGCCTGAATTCAATGATAAAGATCCCAATATTTTTGTCCATATAGTATATTATGGATTTTATTTCACTATTATTATTATTATTTCACAATAATAATAATTTTCTAAGCCTAACCCTAAACAAAAAATTAATCTTAACTTTAGAAACCAAAATGAAAGGGTTTTGCTCTCTCAGTTTAGAAAAGAAACATGAACATTTTTTGTTGGTCCTGTGCTCTAGCCCTGTTCTTCTCCGATTTTCCTATAAAGTCAGGACAATTGTAGTCCTGAAAATGTATAAAAACCTGTACCCACACACATACAAACACACACACACGAACACAGAGAATCACACTCTCTCTCAATGGTGATAATGTTATCAGTATTACTGCTGGAAGGTAACGTCACCCTAACACAGAAGCCACGGACGGGACGGTCCCCTGTGAGAGGCTTCATGAATAATTTAGCACCAAAGGAGTGGAGCAGAAAAAAAAACTGTGTGACCTCAGCCACCTGCTAAAAGAGAGAGAGAGAGAGAGAGAGAGAGAGCGAGAGAAAGAGAGAGAGAACAAGACAAAACAGGAGGCAACAAATAAAAAGGAAAAGACTTTCACAGCAGTGGTATGACAGATGGAATAATGAAGACAAGGAGGGGCAAAAAATGTGACAAGAGAAGAGAAGAGAAGAGAAGAGAAGAGAAGAGAAAGCATTCATAGAGATCTACACTGTCATGGTGGCTTGCAATATGATGAGATATTATTGTTATCAGGATAAATAACATAACAATATGCTTTTCAGAGGACACTGTCAGTACACTAAATGTCCAGATGTCCACCCCCTCTAACTACTGAATTCAGCCACTTTAAGCTGCACCCATCGCTGACACAGGCATTCAACTGCGCACACACAGCTTGTGTAATCTCCATAGAAAAGCACTGACTGGTAGACTGGGACGTTCTGGAGCAGCGGCACCTGAGGTCACCATTCCCAATGCTAATCATTGTCTCGAGGGGTATAAAGCCCCCAGCATTGGACTGTGGAGCAATGGAGCAGTGTTTTCTGGAGCAATGGAGAACCATCAAATATGTTTGAGATGAGTTGGAGAGAATGGAAAACCATCCAGCACTCAGTGCTCTTCTGGCTGAATGCAATCAAATCCTCACAGCAATGTATGTAGTGTAAAGCCTTCTAGAAAGAGTAGAGGCTGTTACTACAGCAAGGAGGGACAAACTCCTAATAAATTTCAGAAGAAATGTTGGACAAGCAAACTTTTTGTCATACAGTGTATCTTCTTCAATACGTCTAGAACACAAAACAACTGCAAAAGACTTCATAGAAACAAGTAGCTCATTGGACATCAACGCTGTACCACATTTCTGGTGCTACTCTCTGGTCCAACTTAAGAAAAAAACCTTGTGATACATATTACATATCATAAAAATGTCATGGTGTTGTATTTTTTCCATAGTGCCTATGCACTATTTCCAAAGTTTAGAGCTATTACGGCTTATTTCTGAAGGATCATGCTGCAGAGAGACATGCAGGAACTTGAAGGTAGCGATGCAGGGCCGCTTGGTTACACTTGGAAAGGTGGGAGTTTTGGACGCGAGGATTTAATGAGGTGCGTTCAGTCTCAGGTAAGCAGTGGCTCGTTCTGAGAATCTCAGACTAACTTCACCTGAAATATTCTGCATTATTAGATGCTGCCACCTCTTCTTAGAACAGCTTGTGGAGGATATCAGTTCAGACTCCTTATGACTCCCAGGGCTGTTTCAGTAGACACCAAGGTATAGTCTGATGAAAAATCAAACTGACACAACTGTGTTTCTTAATCGTGTTCCAGGCCACCCACGGCAATGCACAGTTTCAACTGTTCCTCAGCCCAACAGCTAATGAAAGGCTTGGTAATCAGTTGTCGCCCAAGATCAGGTGTGTCAGGAGTCAAGAAACACTACAAACCATATACTGCTGTGTGTCGCCATGAGTGGGATTAAGAAACACCATTTTAGCCTAAATGTAGTAGACAAGTTTGCTTCACTAGTTTTGCACTGGAGCTGTGGTCAACAGATGTGTTTGACCACTAATTATTGTGCAAACTCCATGACTAAATTTGCACAATTGACAGGGTTTCAACTCGTATTATGTATTACTAGCTACGGACACCAAACATGGATAATTGATTACATATGGGGTAAAATTGGTAAAACCACTCTCCACTAAGGCACTTTTGGAATTGTTTGTTTATTTGAGAAGTGCAGTACTGTGCAAAAGTCAGAGACCATCCCTTATTTATTTGAGTAGAAAATATATATTTCAAAGAAATCTGCAGGGATATTTTTCCACATCTCCAAAGCTCAGTCTCAGAAGTTGGTTGCATTTACTGCTTCTCATGACACATACACATAAACACATATAATGATGTTGAAGTCTGGACTCTGGGGCGGTCAGCCCACTGTTTTGAGAACATCAGCAGCTTCCTTGTGATTAAAAAAAAAAAAATATATATATATATATATATATATATATATATATATATTTTAAACAGGCCAAATATATATATATACAGAAACTGATTTTTTTCGGATCTGAAGCAACAGTGGAGCTTGATTTTCTCCTCAAAGTTGAAAGCTGAATACTATCTGTTGAATACTATCTGATGGGGATAGTTTTGGTGGTCTACCAGGTCTTGCATAGCTGTTAGAAGACATGTTTTCTCTGTGGCTTTTAATATGTTTTGGACCACCAGGTTTGGAAATTCTGTGGATTATCTTATATATAATTTCCTTAAGAATAGCTCCTGAAAAATGAATGACAATGGCTGTTTTGACTGGACATTAAATACATGAAGGATGGTCTCAGACTTCCACACAGTACTGTTAATCAAATACTTCAAGTTCCTTTCACACCCGAGCTGATTCATAGTTATCGGAGATGCATTGAAACACCCTTCTATGCTCCAAAGTACAAAGTGGATACAATGTCAACTGGGGATGCACCTCTGACACAGCTTTTTCTTGGATTTGAGTTCTCTAAGTGGCTCCAGACCTGAACAGAACACTGTGGCACTCATTGCTATGCAAGTGATGCAGCTAATGACAGATATTGTGGCAGCCTGGTGGAGGACAAAGCCAATGTGTCTTGGTAAAGTCGGCTAACAAAATACTACTATATAAACATGTAGTAGCCATGTTCACAATTACAAGCCCAGGCATTCTGCGGTATAGAGTGTGTGGCATCACCTGACCATTCAGCTACTCATAGTTGGGCTGAACATAAATTGTTCATACAATGTGCCACGCACCGCCCGTCTATGATACTGAAAACCTTCAGAAAGTGTTCAAACATGTGATCTTCAAAGAACAGCAAGTCTCTCTCAGTATCCCTCACCATCCCCCCACTGTCTGACTTTTCTTTGGTATGACATCATCACCACAGCAGAATCGGGGTAGACACATGCTATAAATCACCTAAACAAGCTTGCAGCATGTGGTCGGTTGTGACCAACACATCTACATCCACAGTAAGAAGTATCAGCCTTGCTGAGGAAGAGTCCTGCTGTGTTGTTTGATTTAGCCTGCAGCACTGCTGGCAGCAGCAGACAAGAAATGTGCTGATTGGTTTGTGAAATATTCAAGCTGTCCCACACCTGCTTCAGTGGAAATGAATGAAGGTCCACGCACCGCATGCACGAAGGTTTGCCCTCACCTGCTCCATGCTTCAGCGATCCTCCTCCTGTCTCCGGGTCCTGCTCATGGCCCGTTCTTCCTGGGAAAAATCCACAGGGAAAATATCCAGGGAAATCCACAAAACTCCTCACACAGGCTAGGCTTTGGAGGTGCATGAAGCTGCGTACCTTCAAAGAGGCATTTTCTCTTTCACCCTGTCAGGCAGCACCCCATTCAGTCCCTCCCTTCATCCTCCGTCTTCATTCTTCTCCTGGCTCCCGGTATTAGTGGTATCTGCTAGAAGGTTTGTATGTTTATGTTTATGTTATGATCTCCTTCTCTTCCCCTCTGCTCCTCACACAGCAGACTCTCTCTTTCACAATTCACTCGCTTTGCCTTGCCTTCCCTCTCCCTCTCCCTCCCTCGTTCCCTCACCCATCCCTTTTTTCTCTCACTCATTCCACTTCCCTCCTCCTCCTCTCTCCCCTCCCCCTCTCTCCCTCTATGGCGTCTGAGGGGGGAGTGAGGACGGGACAGGAAGAGGGGGGTTGGTCTGAGAGGGGCCATGTGACCACCGGGCTCTGGAGGCCCCCTGACAGCTGCCTGGCTCAAGCCTCTGTCGCCATTGGCAACCTCTGGCATAGAGCACCACGGTCAGAGGGTTTTCTGAAAAGCCATTGGCTGGCAAAGCTGTGCATGTAGGGACATGTAGTTCAAAGGATGGGAAGAGGCTCCCTGGGCCTCCGAGAGGAATGTGAATTTTCCACACAGTTAGCTAAAGATCAGATAGAGGTCCTTTAAGGCCTTGAAGGACTACTCCAGCATTTTTAAACCTAATCTCTGTCTGCTGAATCGATAGCAATTAATACAATTAATACATACAATATTTTTCTTGTACTTAGAAAAGAACAGAAAACCCATTCAAATATGCTTAAAACAGGTCAGAAGGCCAGTGCTGAAGAAGCTGACCCTTAGGCTTCTGTTATAAAAGGATTTTGTGTAAATAAAACAACTGCCCATTGCCCAAGTGTTCTGTAAAGGTGAGACTACAGCTGAATTGGCTCATTTTTTAAACCTATCACAATGAATCTTAGTTGGTTCATTACTGATATTCTTACCAGTGTTGTTTGTATTGTAGCTTTCGCGTAAAATGATATAATAATAATAATAATATGCAAATGAGATGTTTATGCACAGATTCACACATGTAAAAAAACAAAAATCTTCCTTTTGGATGTAAAGAAAACACAATGCATTGCAACGATAAAACACGTTCCAGGTCATTTTGTAATATATATTCTACCACAATTCCAGCTATAAGCAACATATTAGGAAATCCTTCTATAATATCACTCACAGTATGGTCAGGAGTGGACATGTACAAATTCATGAAGGCAGGTGTTCTAGAGACTTAGATTTACGGTTGTAGAGAAAAGCTAATTGGGAAGAATAGGCCTGTATCCAATGAGTTCTCAGAAAATATGGACCATTTCTGTGAATGTTATTGTTAGTAGAAAGAATATAGACGTCTATTGGTATTCTAGGTTCTACAGGATACAAGCTTTTCATTGATATAACAAAACTTGGTTGTGCCAATGTAGGAGGTGCTGAGCCGCTAAATCACTAATTTCAAGAAAATACAGTTAGACACGAGTGGACCTGAATTCACAGAACTAAACACAGAAATAAACGAATATCTGTTTCTTTCTTAAGTTTTTAACATTTTTATGATTACATTTAAAGAAAAGACATGTTATAGATGTTATAAAACAGAGCCAAAGTTGTCATTTCTGCCTGCCTGTCTTGCCTTAACCACCCTAAGAGAGCTATGCTTCTGGAATCCATATAATCCTCTATATGGACACAAAATGTATGAACAGACTGACCTGCATTATCATCATCTTAAACAGTTAATAAGCTCACACACACATATGTAGGCAGAGGAAAGGCCTGGGCATGCTTGGTCATTCAGGAAAAGGAATCCTCAGTTGTTTCCCCATCCTGCGTGAAGGGAAACTGCCCCACCTCTGGCTGCTGCTCCACCTCAACAGGAACTGGACCAATATGAAGGATGAGCCCAAATGACCAGTAGATTCTTACCCTTTATAGGATTCTTTCTTTCCTACTGTCACTAACTTCATTCTTCTTTTGTCCACTTTTATCTACAATGTTAAGCAAAACACTTTTATTTATTGGCCTAACTTGTCAATCATGGCACGTCATAAAACTACAAAGGAATACCTTCCAAACCTACATCAGTTACCTGGAATACCCCTCAGAAACTTCTCAGTTTCAGAGCATTTGATTTCCGCATTCTGGTGACTTTTATGTAGGACAATTACACATTAATAAACAAAGATAAAACATATTTAAATGTTTTATTAATTTCTCAAAAAAGTAATGTTGAGAGCCTTTGAGAGGGAATTTTTTCTTTCGAGAGCCTTTGACAGAGCACCATCTAGTGGACAGACGTTGACAAAACATACATTTTTTCTGTTTTTATTAAAGGGACACTCCAGCAACAAGGAAATATTTAACCATTGCAACAGTGTTTTAAACATGCCTACATATCTTGGACCACCTGGAGCCCATGTGTCTAAATGTCTAAAATTAACAGATTTTGCAAACTTACTGTCTAGTTAACTCAAATTCTTACTTAAATAGATTAGAGGAGCTTTCAGATTTCTTCATAATCGTGGTGAAACCAGAAATCATGATGTGTATACTGTAAGTATGGCTATTTCATTTACTATTCAAAACAAACAGTGAATCTATGTGTTGTCAGAGTTTTACATCATCACTGTCCAAAGAAAAAGAAGGAGAGCAATCTGGGTGGTCCAAGGGTGGACAAACAGTTGCAAATAGTCAGTGGGCTGCCGACCTTATCAAGCCAGCGAGCCTATATATTCTTACTCTCTGGAAAGTCACAGTTAGGGTTAGGTTTTGGGTTGAGGTTGAGATTAAAGTTAGAGTTAGGATTAGGACAAGGGTTAAATTTTGGACCAGAGTTAGGGTTGGCATAAGGTTTTCCGTTCAGGCTGAGATTAAAGATAGGGTTAGGATTAGGACAAGGGTTAAATTTAGGACCTCCAAAATGGGAACTTCACAGGAAAAGAAAAAAAAATCTTAACTTTTTATGTACCAAAATGTACCAAAATTTTATTCCGAGCAATTTTTAGAGCATTTCTACTGGTCCATTTATCATGAACACACACAAAGTTTAGACCCAAACACAGGTTCCTGACCCCCATTCCCCAATACTGAACTCTGACATTCACAGGGACTGTTACACACCCATCACTTTCTGTTACGCACTCATCACTTTAACTGCTCCATAAGCTCATTCTAATTGCACTGCTGTTTATTATTGCACTATACCCACAGACCTTAATCTGTATGTGCCTAATGTCAATTTATTGTTAATTTCAGGGACCTTCTTATATTTTTGTTATTTTTTATTATTCTATTTTTCTACAATGAGTGTTTATTTTTACAATTAGTGTTCAGTGTTCATTTAGTGTCTATTTAATTCATACATTTCCTGTTTACTCTCTATTTAATGTTATTGCTACACCATGGGGTCTGAGAGTAACGCAATTTCAATATTCTGTATGTCCTGTATATATTGTAGTATTGACAATAAAGCTGACTTGACTTGACTTGAAATTTTCAAGGTCAGCTGGTGTGCTCAAACAATGTAGGAAAATTGACAAAAAGGAGATTTTTTGGACAGTGATGACATGTATGATTGATTATGGTTGAAAGTTTTTCGTTACAACTCCTTGCATGTGCTGCTCTAATGTATATTTTTAAAAAATACATTTTATGCCAAAAGCTTATCTCAAAACTATCTTAAAACAATGTCTCAGCCACCAGGTAGCATATTCACACCCACCAACACATAAGCATTTATCTTTAACCTTGTGAAAGGGAGCTTTAAGAAAAAGTCTTCAGATGTCTTCAGATGTCTGGTTCCTATCACCACCACTGTGAACAATTCTGAAATGGTAAGATTCTCCAAAGTGGTGCATCTTAAAATATTTTATTAACTGTTTACATCTTAACCATGAGATTATGCAGAAAATCATGGTGCAATTTGCTGTTAAATACAGTTGCTTTCAGCAGTTAGAGGCTGTATTCAAATTCCAAGAGACAGACTTTACATAACCTTAAAAAATGTAAAAAAAACAAACAAACAAACAAAAAAACCCCCCAAAACTTCCCTTATTCAGAACATTGCTGTGCTGAAAGTGAACCCCTGCCCTATTCTGAGATCTGATGTGAGTGCTCTTGAGCAGGGACATAGTTAGAACTTTTAAAATGACATAAAAAGTGATGCTTTAATTTTTCTCTGTCCATAACTGAATCTGTCCATCACAACCAAGATTATAATATTACATCAATATAACTACTGAAAGAGAAAACTGTGTTGATGCAACATTTTATTCATGAGGAATTTATGTGTTTAATTGCATCACTTTTTTCAATGCACAACGTTACCTTAAGAAAAACATTTCATTTAGACAGACGGGCCATAGAAGTTATTATTCAGGCTGCCCTCTCTACAGGTTATACATGAATCTAATGATTAGAAAGCTCAGCAGTATATAAGAGATCCTATAACACATACACATATTCAACTGTAAAAGGAAATTAGTTATCATGATGAATGTTTATAGCCTACTTCATAATGTAGTTTACAGAGCAGCACTGCTGAAGGCACCCAGCACACATTCTCCCACCAGAAAATTTGCCTGTCACAGCAGGATAGCTAATATTAAATGCAGCATCATTAGACTCTTATAACTGATTGGACCTGATGGCACATTTTCACCATAAAGCATAATTGATGCTTTATTAATGATGGCTGACTGTGTCACTTTTCAAAACTGGGGTGGCCAGAAGGGTGGCCATGCTTCGGTCTAGAGAGACACTGGCCACCCCTTGGCTAGGCCTCTGCTCTTGAGCAGGTTTTCCACCTGAATATCACTATATCACTTCATCTTTCGCACAATCTTGACAAGCATCCCAGCTGAAAAACGCCCAGATATAATATAAAGTACAGAGCCCTAATGTATAAATGAAAATAATGCGAGATCCTAATGCGTGGCCCCGATTTAGTAAGGCGTGGGAATAAGATAATTAAGTCGTGGCCACAACTTAGTAAGGCATGGGAATGAGATCATGCCTGATTGTGCCTAGGTCATGGCCATGCATTAGGATCTCATTCCCATGCCTTACTAAGTCGTGGCCACACATTAGGATCTGGTTCTCATGCCTTACCAAGTTGTGGCCACGACCTAACTATCTTGTTCCCATGCTGTACTAAGTTGTGGCCACACATTTTTTTATTTACACAGGATGTCATGAGCAGGGCTCTATACTAAAGAGTCCAGTCTAGAGTATTTTTTTCTCATGGTCTGATGGTACATTAGGTGTTTTTGGCCAACGCCGAGTGATGAGCCTTTTTCAGAGGAGCGGTTTCTGTCTGGTCCCTCTGCGGCAAAGCCCTGATTGGTGGAATGCTGCAGAGAGTCTCGATTTAAGAATCATTTAAGAACGATGGAATGTGGTCATTATGCTCTTTAGGACCTATACAGCTGTATTATTGTTTCAGTGCCCATCCTGGGTCAAAGTCCTATTTTGCAGGTCCACTGTGGGACTTTATACAGAAAGAGGTTTGCCTTCTCAAATCACATCCAATCAAGTGAATTTACCTCAGGTGGACTTTAATCAAACTAGAAATATCTCAAGGGTGATTGGTGGAAAACTGATACTTCAACAAATGTGAAGAAAACTGCATTCAATTCATTTTAGAGTAAGACTGTTAAATAACAAAATGAGAGAAAAGGAAAAGGAACAACAAACACTTCCTGAATGCACTGCAAACAATTCATTACTCCCAGTGTACTGAATCTGTCCAGCTAACCAGTCTGTGGTGACCAAAATGTTCTCAAAAATATTAACATCACAAGTTCTGATTGTACTTTGTGATTGTACTGAAGATGGCAGTACAGCCAAACGCTGATGAACATCTGACATTGGCTGTAGGTGTAAAATTAGATGTGAATAGTAGTGTCTGGGTAACTTCATATTTCATGTGGGCAAACTCATTAGGCTAGAATAAAGAGCAGAAATGTTTGATTTAAGCTTAGGGGCTTGTTGATTATAAATGTGTTTCTTGTGTAGCAAAGACTGTATACGAAGTAGTAACATGTTTTGTATGCATCAGTGGAGTTCAAAATACTGTAATCATAATACCCCACTGAAATACGCAATACCAGAATACAAACAATAGTCAATGCAATAATGTGCCACACAGGTTTTAGTTCCAGTCATGACATATCTGTTGGCCAGCTTTTTTTTTTTCCAAAGAGGCCACAAAAGGCAAATTCAGCCTGTTTATGAGGTCCCTCAGTTGAACTATGCATTTTTTCTTTAGTAATGGCAACGCAATATATTTCAACAACAATGTGCATGATTTACAAAACCAGAAGCGAACTGGAGCAAACAAGTCAACATTTATTAAAGAGTTTTGATTTTTTTAAGAGCTATTTTTGTTGTGGCAGTTGCACATGATTGTTTGACATCAAGAAAGGTGCAGTTGTGCTTCTTATCTTATAATAGTGGAATAAAAAAATACAGTTTCCTGTACTACAGTGAAAGAAACAAAAGAGCAATCATTAAAAACAAAAAACAACAACAACATATATATATATATATATATATATATATATATATATATATATATATATATATATATATATATATCATATATAACATATAACATTCTTTAAAAAAAACTTCATTTTGGTTTTTGGGCTTTGAGTGAGAAGTGAGGCTTAATAAAAATACAGAGACTGGTTCAGAAAAGTGGCAACAAACCAATAATGCTTTGCAGTGAAGGAGTCTAACTTAAAAACTTTCATAGGGCGGTTTGATGAGGAACAGGGGACCATCACTGGGGAGAGGAGGACCTCTGGTGGCCAGGACAGGAGTTGCCTGTGACAAATAAAATGTGTCATAACATTTGTACAGACTACATTTAGCACTTTACATTTTCCAATGTATTAATATTCAGCGAATAAACGTATTTAATTGTGCTATAAAATGTGCAGAAGTGTGTTCTCTGAAAAGGATATGTTTATCCTTATTTTCACTGAAAATCAACAAAACAATTCAGTTGACCAGTGGTGTCCAAAACTTTGCATGAGTAGTGAAAAAACATATATCTTAACATATAATGCTTACTGAATAGCTAGACAGATAAATATTTAACATATATGTAAACAAATAGATAGCAGAGGTGGAAACAAGTCACTAAGTTGCAAGTAGAGAATAAGGCTGAGATCTTGAGATCTTGACACTTGAGTCCTGACTTAAGTCCCAAGTCAAGATAATTCACGTCTCGAGTCAGTGACGGCAAGTCTCAAGTCAACAGTCCTACTCTTCTTATCTTAAACAAGTCAGTATGCATTCTTCAGTTAATTTAAGGCCTCAACATGGAATAATGGTAACAGTACTAGTAGCCTTTTAATGACATGTTAGTAGTGCATGGCTGTATATTATTTTTTTTACCCTTCAAACTAAAACATAGAATCCATGATAACCATGACAGGCACAATGTATACACAAAGAGCAGTGCACTACACATGAAAAGAATTTTAAAAGTACTATTGAAAAAACTTTACCTTTTTGGGAACACTGGGTGCATAGGATTAAAACTAGCTCAGCATTAAAACTAGCTCAACGTAAAACAACCACTCGTTTGAACTGAATTAAGATAGCAACAGAACGCAAAAAAAAAAAGTTTACAGAAAAGACAGTAAAATGACGGTGAATGTACAAAGCTAAAGATGACTTTTTTGCCAGCAGCTTCTTATTCAAATTTTCTGTTCCACCTTAAATGGTGCAAGTTACATTCTTCCGCCTGACTGCTGCACCAATTAAGTTGGAACGACAAATTCCAGTATGAAGCTGACGAAGAACAAGTCAGCTTCAGCCTTGTGGTGACTGAACATTTGCGTGTGTTAACCTGCAGAAGCTGTTAAATCGGTCAAATAGAGAGAGCTGTGTTTCTTTTGTTTTGATACCATGAGGAAAATGGTCAGTTCAGCAAGTAAGTTTCTCCAGTAAGGCTGGAGTTTATGAGCTGGGCTGGGCTTATTGATGCTTCGCTTGTATATTATAATGTTTGTTTCACTCACATTTACTTCAATGAGGTTATGTTCAGCTCTGTTACACTTACATGCTCATTCTTAACTGAATGTTTGAATGAGAGCAGGAAGAGAGAGCAGAAGGAGAGACGTGACGGAGAGCAATGAAGATGTACTGGAGCTGACAGGCTTGACGGTGGTGGTGTTGGTAGATGTGGTGTTGGCTTTGGGAGGGAAGGTGCCCACCATCTCCCGCAGGAATTCTGCGACACTTGAGATTTTAATGAAGACCTGGACGTCTGAGGCACGAGACAGCTTGGGAACTAGAGTCAAAACTGCAGGCTGGACCCATGATTGGCCAACCTTACACATCAGAGGACCTCCAATATTAGTCTGAGAGCGAGAGAGAAAGATTAAGACTGAGGAGTCAGAAACAGAAATAGCATATTGTTGCGGACCAAAAAAACAAAAAAACAAAAAAACAAAAACAGACAGCACATCAGCTGCTCCTTACATTGTGTGCATGGAAATTCTCCAGAATTGCTTGGAGTAAAATGTCTTTACATTAACTTACATTAAAATTACAGAAGGTTTTTGCTCTCACCTGTAAAGTTACCATTTTGATAATATGCTAATAACAGACTGTGTAATCTCCATTGAGAAACTGTTTGTTTGATTTTAGGAAATTGGAAAATTAGGAAAATGTCACAGTACTCATTTCGTATTGATAAATTCCTAGTAATATAATAGTTAAACGCAGTGGCGGCTGGTGAAAATTATTCTTGGTGGGGCTGTTTGTGCCATATTCAGTCAGTTTCAGCAATGATCCCAATACTATTTAACACAAATTGGAAGATTCCAGCTCTTTGTCAAGTAGTCAGTAATTATTTAATTGTTATTAAAAAAATCAGTTATTAGTTAATTAATCATTAGTTGCCGTACTAATGTGTTCAGATAAAAGGTACAGTATGCATTATCAGATTACCAATTGAGTCTGGTTCAAAAACATATACAGTAAAATTAGCAAAAAAAAAAAAACATAAGACAAAATTTGAGGTATTTCTAGAGAGTTTTTTGCTAGCCTGTTGTGTGATGGTTATGTCAGGTGAATCTGGCCCAAACTCTCTCAGTTTCTCCACCAAAGTTCTCCTTTCAAATGTATTTTGGAGAAGAGATCTTATTGAATTTGGGGGCAGCTGAAATCCTGTGTCTTGAGTCATCAGTGTTAATAACGTCAGGTGTCCCTACTCGACCACTGACGGACTCCGCTTGGGGTGATAAATGAAACACCTTTTAGATATCAGATTCGAGGATGCTGATTGGGTAAAATTTATGTTACTATGTGCATATCTTGTGTCAGTAACATGTAGCTGTACTGCTGCTCTGACTGGGCAACATTTCTATCACCCCAAAAGAGAGAGGGAATGGAGAGGATGTTAATTTCTCCCAATATATTTTATCTATTAAACATGATTGTGCACTTTTTAACACATTCATACTTCAAATAAGTAGTTATTGATTATTTTAAAAATGTTTATTTTAAAAACAAACAAACAAAAAACTTCCACCAGGGAGCACCACCCTCTATTGGCCAGCTGCCACTGGTTAAATAGATTTCAGTATATGTTAACGTACAGACCTGTTCTAAGGGCATGACTCCTGTGCAGATGCTTCTGTTAGATGAGGATGCGCTCCCACAGTCCAGTATAGTAGTGTTGAACTGCTGAAGAGTTTGCTCAGCTTCAACATAAAGAGAATAAACATGACAGAGAGCAGGAAGGGCAATATGACGACTGATGAAAACCGCTGACAACTATTTGTGTGAACTTGAAATATATTGTGAATTTGCAAAGAAGGGTACACATTTCTCAATACTTTTCATCTTAATACTTTTACTTGTAATCAAGCATATTTGTAAAGGAAGTACAGTATGTATGACATCGTCTGTACAGCTTTGTGATCTGCCACATCAACAGCGCATCAATAAGAGAGAATAGAGCTTTACAAACTTCACTTTCTATGCTGATAGATGCTGGATGTGCTACGAAGTTCCACTGCAGATCTACATGTTTCTCAGTACTCGATAGATTTTTGACTTGCTACATTTAAAATATGTACAAAGTTGTACAAAGATACTTTTATTTAATCCATCATTTTAGAGAAGTAACAATACTTTTATTTGAGTATGGGTTTGGGCTACTATACCCACCAAACACACAAACGTACCTCCTCCTCCTGATCCCCAGCCAGATGCCCAGCATTGAGTGTTGACAGTGAAGCTGTTGTCCCCCAGGTCCACACATATGGGCTGAATGTGGTCTGAAAGCGTTGGCTTGCGAGACAACAGCAGTACTGCTGCGTTGTTGACTATGTCACTGCTGATTGAGATTTTGGTCACACTAATAGAGACCTCGTTGGCGTTGGGGCCGTTCTGTTTGAGCCGTCCCAGAATTACTGTCCAGTCAGAAGCACTGGTAGAGCTGTAGGATAAGATAAAGAATAGAGAACCTCAGAATTAGCACTGATGTGTCTTGATGTGATTTTGATTCCTGACTTAACTTTTGCTAATCCTGCAGTTTTTACCTAGAGAAGCAGTCACCGGAGCTCAAGACAAACTGCTCAGCTACCAGTGTTCCTCCACAGACATGAATACCATTACGTTGCAGACTGGCCATCCATGGCCACACACCTGCAGATGCTAAGGAGTTGCCCCCTCCTGTAATGCTATTCAGCTTGGCACTGCCACACACCACAGCTGTGGATGTAGTGACAGTAGCAGTTGTGGGGACAGATGTAGGGACATTTGGGGGTTTAGTTACAAGCATGGTTGTAGTGATAGTAGCAGTTGTAGGGACAGCTGTGGTTGTAGGGACAGCTGTAGTTCTATCAACAGGAGTGGGTGTTGGGGATTTTGTGGTTGTGGGAAGAGCAGCAGTTGTGGCAACAGCAGTGATTGTGGAGACAGTTGTAGGGACATTTGTGGTTTTAGCTATCAGCATGGTTGTAGTGACAGTAGCAGTTGTTGGGACACCAGTGGTTGTGGGGAGAGTTGTGGAAACAGTTAGTGTTTTAGCTTCAAACATGGTTGTAGTGATAGTAGCAGTTGTGGGGACAGCAGTAGTTGCAGGGGCAGCTGTGGTTGTATCAACAGTAGTGGTTGTAGGGGCAATTGTGGTTGTGAAAATAGCAGCAGTTGTGGCAACAGTTGTGGTTGTGGGGACAGTTGTGGTTGTGGGGACAGTTGTTGTATCAACAGTAGTGGTTGTTGGGGCAATTGTGGTTGTGGAAACAGCAGCAGTTGTGACAACAGTTGTGGTTGTGGGGACAATTGTTGTATCAACAGTAGTGGTTGTTGGGGCAATTGTGGTTGTGGAAACAGCAGCAGGTGTGGTAACAGTTGTGGTTGTTGGGACAGTTATGATTGTAGGGACAGTAGCAGTTGTATTGATGGTATTGGTCGTAGGGACAGTTGTGGTTGTGGGAATAGCAGCAGTTGTGGCAGCAGTTGTTGAAGGGATAAAAGCAGTTGTTGAAGGGACAACAGCAGTTGTGGAAACAGAAGCAGCTGCTACAACAGTTGTCGTAGGGACTGTTGCATTTGTGGAGACAGTTGTAGCGACAGTAGTAGTTGTAGCCACTGCTGTTGTTGTGGGGACAGCTGTGGTTCTAGTGTCTGTTGTAGAATATCCAACTACAGTTGATGAAGAAGCTGGATATGGAAAAAATCAAAGAAAAATGATAAAAGAGGAAGAACAGAGAAAGAAACTGATGCAGACAAAGTCAGTGGACTGTGTATAACATAAAAGAACATTGAGGTGGTAATTTGGGGTTTGTTGAAAGATTCTGTGCTCTCTAGCTCTATGATACTTTTGCTTTGTCCATGCAAAAATGTGGAATTTTTCCATTGATAATAAGCCTCAGTATCTGATCATATATTGTAAATACAGGCAATCTTACATAAAGCAGCAGATGTGGAGGTGACTGGATAAGAAGTGGCAACAGGAGACAGGCCAGGACAGGACACACTCAGGTCCCCATTAGTGCCAATAGAAGTGAATGTGACAAAACCTGGCTGGTTGCTGATGATCTGCTGGTTAATCCAGTTTTGGTGCAGAGACACTCTGGTATAGACTTCTACATATCCTGAAGCATAACAGCTCCCAGGATAGATCATAATGCCTGCCTGGATCCAACGACCCTCCTGTTTGATGACCAGGGGACCTCCAACGTCAAGCTGTGCAGGACCAGGTAGATATTAATTTAAATCTTACACCCTTTATTGGAAAAAGGAAGTGGAGAGATTGAGAAGAAATTACCAAACAGCCATAGCTCGCCAACAATCCAGAACACATCAGGTTGTCTGTGATCACTTCAAACCCATATGAAGGGATATATATGCAGTTACATTTCCTGTTTCCAACAACTGAGGCATTTGATTGTTTCAGGGTGCCTGGATAAGGGACACAGACCAAAGTAACTTTTCTTAAACATCAAAACAGTACTAGCACAAGGACTGACGCCATTAACTGACAGTCCAGAAAAATAAAGTGTCATGTTGTACATCACTGAAAACTGCTCTTGAAAATATGGCTTTGAAAATGATAAGCGTGTTTTGTACACTATATTCAAAAAGTATTCAGATCCCTTCATTTTTTTCTTTCTTTTATTACGGTACAGCCTTGATATAAAAGTGATTTTTTTCTCATCAGTCTACAGAGGTGGGAAAAAGTCACTAAGTTGCTGCTCCATTTAAGATGGAATGACAAATTCCAACATGAAGCTGGTGAATACAAGTCAACTTTAGCCTCTAGGGTGAATGGTGTGATCGTTTCCCCTGCAGGAACTGTTAAAATCAGACCAGTAGAGAGAACTGTGTTTCTTTGGTTTTGCTAGCATGAAGGATCAGTTCACCAGGTAAGTTTCAAGTCCAAGTCGTATTCCTTGAGTCCGCAACCTCTGTCAATCTAACAAAATACTCCATAATAAAGCAGTCTAAACAAGTTTTCACAAAGTTTTGCAAAATGTATTCAAAATAAAAATCTGGAATAAGCATTCACCAAAAATTAGCAAGACTCTTCCTGACAGTTACTTTGACGGACCTCCAGATGTCCTGCCAGGAAGACAACCATATCTGCAATCCTCCACCAAGTAGGTGGTTTATGGAATAGTGGCCAGAGGGAAGTCAGTCCTCAGTAAAAGGCACATGACAGCTCCCTTGAAGTTTGCAGAAAAAGGACTTTTAGGCCATGTGAAACATGATTTTATCATCCAATGAAAACTTAGTGTTATACCCAAGAAGACTTAAAAAGCTGTAATTGCTTCCAAGGGTGTTTCAACAAAGGGCTGATTACTTCTGCAAATATAATATTTCATTTACTTATTTATTGGTTAATACATTTAAAAACCATTGTGAAACCTATTTTACAGTAAGGCTGTAAAGTAACTAAATTAGGAAAAAGCAAAGAGGTCTGAATACTTTCTGAATTCCATTAGTTGCTCCGCTCCACAAAAGCAATGTGAAAAGATCAAGCGATAAGGAATGCTGAAAAACATTACCATTAGGAGGTCAAATGGGGACAGCAAATAATATAAAAGTACAACATGGTTTTAGCATAATGGGCTACAGTTTTGTAATTATTAATTAAAATATAAGAAATATAAGGTCAATTGATTCCCATTTTTTATCATGGATCTAGCCGAGGTTATACACGGTGAATGTTTCGTGGTCCATGAACATCTAAACCAGACCCTAGATCCACAGTTCAATTTGACAAGTTTGATATGGTTCATATGAGCTTCAGCTTCCTCATAATTCTGTCCTCATTACTCACCTACATTGGTGTTTGTATTCCAGCCAGTGACCCAAGCCTGAGTACCGTTGAAGAATGCGCTTCCAGCTGCAGCCAGGCAGACAGGTTTAATATAATCAGTGAAATTCACACTAGAGTTCAGCTTCAGCAGGACAATATCTCTCTCATAAGTGAGGTTGGGATATCCAATGACTTGAGTAACAGATCTGGACACTGTATTCGCGTCACTTGTGGACAGTGACTGCAATCCCAGATACACAGTCACCCTTTCAGTAATATTGCTGAAAAACAGAACAGAGGCATTCTTAACACCATCTGCTGAATGTTTTTTATCACAGTACTACAAGCGACTCTTCAGAATTTTTATTCAGTTTGACACCTTATTAAGCAGCGGGCCGCTGTTAGAACCCAGTTAGAGTTGATGAGAGATCCACTGCAGAAATGAACACCGCTAGTTTGCAGACTAACTTGCCAAGGCCAAGAACCTGGAGCAGCATTCGGTCCTCCCACTGTGATGTTATTTAGAGGAGCCACACCACACACTGACAAAGAGAAAAGGAAACATTCTAGTTAGATGGATCTTTGTGATCTCTCTCTCTCTCTCTTTCAGCCCTATCTCATACATTCCTTACATGCCCTGTCTTTTGTCTTGCATGTGCCCTTCAGAAATAGATGCCTTTTAGCATATCACTGTTGTCGGAAGTAAACCTTGTATCTCTGTTTTTGCTGTTTTTGGCATAATTTGAAAATACCTTTTACCCTTTTTTTCACCCTACCTTTTGCGTAAATTTCATGAAGAATGGACCAAAAGAAATGTCCCAAAATTACTTGGAAAGTCTGGTTCCATTGATGTACATTAAAAGTAAAGTATTTTTTTTTTTTTATGTTTCCTGTAAAATTATCATTTTGGAGATACAATTTTTTCTTCCAACAACAGCGATATGTAGTATTTGTCTTGTGTGTGCCTGTTTGAAAGAAATGGCTTTTGATATATTAAGTATCAAACAATTCTAATAATAAACAAGTATTCAGAGACAGGTTTTGTTATTTATTGTGTGTGTATACATGCATACACACACACACACACACACACACACACACACACACACACTCAATCAGCAAACAGGTCACCGAAAACCGGACTTTGAGTTCCTGAACACAGATCCATTGTTTGGGAACCTTGAAGAGGCCCCGTTCATCTTGCCCGACCGGCCGAGGAAACACCGCAGACGCCGGAAAAGGGGCGGGAGAGCTTTCGTTCTGGTCAGGCTGAGACTGTGTGCTAACTGCCCCCCACTCCCCAGCATACTACTGGCAAATATACAGTCCCTGGACAACAAAATCATCCAACTCAGGGCATGGATCTCTTTCCAATGAGAGACACGAAACTGCTGTATATCAGCAGAGATTCCCAATGAGGCCATCAAGCCCGCAGGCTTCTCTGTGCACCACGCAGACAGAACAGAGTACCGGAGGTGTATGTTTTATGCTCAACAATACTTTGTGCGATCAGAGGAATGTACACTTCATCTAGTCTTTCAGCTCTCTGGACCTGGAATATCTAATCATCTTGTGCAGACTGCTGTGGCTGCCGAGAGAGATTTCAGGGGTCATTGTCATCGCCATGTACATCCCACCACAGACTGATTCAGACCTGGCACTCAGGAAACTGTACGAGGCAGGAGGCTTTAGGGAATTTACTCCAAAGTACTTCCAACATATCTCATGCAGCACACAAAAATCACACACACAGGATCACTGGTACTCCCCCTTCTGTGAGGCGTACAAAGCATTCCCCCGGCCTCTGTTTGGCAAATCGGATCATCTCTCCATCCTGCTCCTATAAGCAGAAGCTGAAAAGGGTACCGCCCACCATCAGGGAGTTCCACTGCTGGTTAGACCAATCAGATTCTGGGCTCCAGGACTGTTTTGATGACTCAGACTGGGAGATGTTCCAGGAGGTGTCAAACAATAACACTCACGAATAAGCAGACTGTGTTACCAGATTCATCAGAAAGTGCATAGAGAAACAGTTCATGTTTACCACAATAAGAAAACATGGCTCACCTGTGAAGTTTGTGCTGCTCTGAACGCACGTACCACTGCTTTTAAATCAGGAAACACGGAGGAGTATAAAAAAAGCCAGCTATGCTCTTCATAAGACCATAAAAGCAGCCAAACGTGAGTATAGGGCTAAAGTTCAATCACAGTTAACACCACCAACACGAGAAGCCTGTGGGAGGGGTTAAACACATTAACGGAGTTGAAAAGGGAAACTCATTCTGAAAATAACATCAGTGCTGCACTTCCAGACGAGCTAAATACTTTATATGCCTGTTTTGAGGTAAATCACGCCACACTCTCAGAAAGAGCCCCGCCCCCGCTACCGCCAAGTCAAAGCCCACCCTCCATCTCTGTGGCTGACGTGTCCAGAGTCTTCAAGTGCATTAACATCCACAAAGCGGCTGGACCTGATGGCATTCCTAGATGCATCCTCAAAGCATGTGCACATCAGTTTACAGAATGTTTATCTGTTTACAGACATCTTTAACCTCTCTCTCTCCTTCTCAGTTGTTCCTGTGTGCTTCAAACTGGCCACCATTGTGCCAGTTGCAAAGTTAGCCAGGGTTATTACTTTAAATGACTGGCGCCTGGTTGCTCTGACCTCTATCATAAGTAAGTGCTTTGAGAAGCTGGTCAGAGACTTTATTTGCTCCTTACTACCGGTCATTATGGATCCACTGCAGACACAACAGATCCACTGATGATGCAATAGCCCAGACTCTATATGTGAGAATGTTGTTTGTGGACTATAGCTCAGCATTCAACACCATCGGGCCCTCAAGTCTCGACATTAAGCTTCGGGATCTGGGTCTGAACTGTTCTCTGTGCAGCTGGATCCTGAACTTCCTGATTGGCTGACACCAGGTGGTAAAGGTGGGCAACATCACCTCCTCCTCAGCCCTCTCTTGTAATCTCTGTAAACCCACGATTGTTCAGCCAGACACAGCTCCAATGTCATCATCGAATTTGCAGATGACACCACAATTGTGGGCCTGATCTCCAATCAGAGAGGAGGTCAGTGGGCCTGATCTACAGAGAGGAGGTCAGCTTCCTGACACACTGGTGCCAGGAGAAGAGCCTGTCTCTCAATGTCGACAAGACCAAGGAGCTCATAGTGGACTTCAGGAAACAAGAGAAAGTGCACACCCCTATCACTATCAAAGAAGCTGCTGTAGAGAGGGTCATCAGCTTCAAGTTCCTAGTGTTCACATCACAGAGGATCTGACATGGACCAAACACACCATACGGGTGGTAAAGAAGGCACGAATCCCAGCATCCTCTGAACGTTTTACACATGTACTGTGGAGAGCATTCTAACAGGCTCCATCACCACCTGGTATGGAAACTGCACTGCCATCAAGTGGAAAGTTCTGCAGAGGGTGGTACGGAGAGCCCAGCACATCACCGGGGTCCAGCTCCGAAATCTCCTGGATTTATACACCAGCTGCTGCCTGAGGAAGACCAGGAGGATTCAAAAGGACTCCACCCTCCCAAGCCATTGTTTGTTCTCACAGCTGCTGAGTGGGAGAAAATACAGAAGCATAAAGTCCAGAACCACTCAGTTCCAAGACACTTTCTTCCCCAAGGCCATCAGCCAGTGGTGCTGGTGTATCAGTCTATGAGCCCGTCACTACACTTCTTAATCATCATCATGATGATCTTCATGGACAGTCCACACTCTGTCCACACCTCAAACAGACTCTCTGTGAACTCACTGTAACTTCAGTCTAGTAAATCTATGCTTGCACATATAGATGGTCATCTTGCACATCTTCTATTCATATCTTGCATAACCTGGAATATGTACATATCAGTATTCTATCCCATGTGTATCCTGTATCTCACTTCAGACTCACAAATTGCATATGTGGTAATGTGTAAAACTGTACATATCATAGCTTTTTATTTCATAACTTATATTACTGTGAAAACTGTACATTAGAAATAATGCAAGTGGTATATATTAATGCGTATATTGTGTATGTGTAAATATTTAGAGTCTAATGTATATATATTTTTTTTCTTATTTTTTTACCTCACCTGCACACCTGTGTAAATGTGATGTGACAATAAATGTGTTTTGATTTGATTTGAAAAGGTCCCCAAACAATGTTGAAAAAACAACCCCATAGCATTATCCCTCCCCCTCCAAACTTTACAATTGGCACGGTGCAGTCAGGCAGGTAACGTTCGCCTGGCATTCACCAAACTCAGACTCTTTCATCAGACTGCCAGATAAAGAAGCATGCCAGTTCATTGCAGGGCAAATTGTATTAAATTATCATGTACCTACAGATATGTGAACATGTTACTTCAACAAGTTTGTCCAAGTCAACACCAGAAAACATGTCCCAATTAGTACAGTCAAAACATTCAGGTTGGTAGGTTGGTAGGTAGGTCAGTAGGTAGGTAGGTAGGTAGGTAGGTAAGTAACTTTATTAATCCCAGAGGGAAATTCTTCTACTGCATATTAGAATATACTGCATATAGTATTGCCGTACACTATTTACACACTGTAAAATAAAAAAGATTTTTTTTACAGACATTGACCATACATAAATAGTTTTTTTTTCTGTATTTTTCATGATAAGAGAATATACCTGGAAAATACAGGAAAATCACCCTTTTCAATAAATCTGCTGTAAAAATACAGTCAAAGTCTGTTATTTTAAATTATAAGAATCTACCATTTTTTAAACATGATTGTACCATTTTAAGAGTTTTGAGTGTTAATTTAGTAGTTATCATTGTAAAACACAGTTAAAAGGGTAAAAACAGAGTTATCAGTGTAAAAATACAGATCAATATAGTTGTTTTACATTTTTCCTGCTCTGTGTGTGTTTAATGGTAATAAACACATTATAAAACCTAATAAATTAATTTACAGAACTGTCCTATAAAATTACTTTCAATACAGTGTAATGAAAATATGATAACTCCTTTGCCTATTGTACGTTAACAGCAATTTGTTGTTTTAAAACAGTAAATGTATGGTAAATTCATTTAAACTTCCAAATTATGAACTGGCATACAGCATCAGACCAGATATTTTGACTAAAATGATGAGGTTTAAATAATTCAAAAAATTGTCAAACCATTCAGTAATTCATAACACTTTTCTTTAAAACAGGCAGTAAATTGTGATATCAGTTCAAAGGTATATTACTGTCTTATATTTGGTAGAATTCAAGTTTTGAAACCACAAAAAATTAGTTTAGCAGACAGTTGTGTGTTCATTGGACAAAATCGTGGTTATGGTCTGTTCAGCCAATGAATGTCGAGAATCCCCGTTTAAATCTGAGCGCGAGCTGCTCCAGGACAGCGCCGTTCACACAATCACAGAGGAAGAAACCAGCCTGGCTGCACCGAAGTCTCTGTTCACACCGTGTCTTCATGTTTAACGGCGAGGTAATGTGTTGGTTTTATTTTTCCACAAACCTGCTGCTTTGCTGCGAGTGAAAACGGCTTACTCTGCATTTAGTTTCGTTATTACGACTAGCAGTCTTAGCAGCAGTGAGCTAATAGTAGTAAGCTCAGTCATCTAGTGCAAGCTAACAGGAGGGTTAGCTGAGTTGACTAAGTGTCCGGATTTAACGTTTTCAAAACACAGCTAAAGTGTTAACCCCAGAGTTGCCAGGGTCGCTGTTTCGCCGCCAAATTGGGCTCGTTTGAAAACCGTAGTAGCGGCCAAAATGACTGATTACAGACAGAAAATGAACGGCCTTATGAGCGGATAAACGAATCGCCGTAGGAGTGTTTGATTAGCTGTAAACCCGGACAGAGAGCGCAGACAGAGCGAGGTTCGTGGCTTTCCCGCCAAATTGGGCTCGTTTGAAAATGAAGCCGTGAGTGAATTTTTGGTGTTTTGGGCCTGTTTAAGAATGAAGCGAGTCCGAGGAATCGGCGTATGAGTGTTTGACTAGCCATAAACTTGAGGACACACAGCCAGGTATAGTAGAGTCCAGCAGAGAGAGAGAGAGAGAAAGAGAGAGAGAGATTCACGATGGAGAACCGGCGCTAGAAGTAGAGTCAGAGAGAGAGATGCAGTAGCCGTTAGCTAGCTAGTAAATGCAAACAGAAACAAAGGAGAAACCTAAAGGTTTTCTAACATCTGTCAGGAGTATTTGGACAAGTTATAATGTTCAGTGTTTAGTGAAATAATGTCTGCAGTAAAATACCTCTAGAAAATTGTTTAAAATAATTGTTCTTGGCAATAAAGGTGTTTTTGCTGGTTATTAATATGCTGGTTAGAAGAAAACAGTTAGAGGAACACAGTTCTTAATCCTGATTTCTCACTGCTGTTCAGAATGGATTTGTTAAATTCCAGCACTCCTGATTTAATTTAATGAAGGATTGAATAGATAAGCTAGTGCTGAATTTCTGATGGCTGCCTCCTGTCTGTATAGTGCACTGTGAATTTTGGCTTCTTTTGCTCAGAAAGTCCTGTAGTGAATTGTGTGCAGGTGGTTGAATCACCAGTATCTCTCTGTTAGACAGTGTATGCAGTGTTCGAGTGCAGGAGCTATATGTTAAGGCCTGTATTATGCATTATGTAGGGAGTAGGGAGCCATGTGAGATTCAGCCTATGCATTGGATGGTATTAAATGGTTAAAAATAATGTATTCTTTTTGTGTTTTTGTATTTGTTTTTTTTTAAATAATAACATTTACTGTCCAGATCAATAGATTGCCCTCATTCTAGAGGCATTTTCACTGTAGCTAAGTCCTGAGTGTAGTGTGGTTGCTTAGTCCCTCAAGTTGCTGGTTTTGTTTTTAGCATTTGTAAATAAAATCAAGAAACCTCTCTCTCATGCAGTTCCAATCTGAATTTTTTAGTAAGTGCATGCTGTTACAGTCCAAACTACAGATTAATCAAGAATGATACAGAAGTTAATTAGTGCTCTAATTCACATTATTGTTTATGTTTTACACAGACATTATCAATAAAAAATAAATATAATATAAAATAACTTTCACATAAAGATTCACAGTAGCTATCTTTTTGCCCCCATTTGGTGTTTATTTTGAATGCTAGGTTGCTGGGTGATGTCATGATTGTTAAAGTTCAACAGTCAAAATAAAAAGTATGCATTATTGTTGAGGTTTTATTGTTCTGGGCAATGGTTTTACATTGCTTTAAAAGAGCAATAGTTTATTGGTTGTTGTGTATTTATGTAAAATTAAAGTACACCATTATTTTATCTGCTGAAGTAAAATGTAATTGTGCATGTAATTAAGTATATTGACTCCTGTATAAAAACTGGAATATAACAAAATGACCACAAAATTGTGGTATAAAAACGTTTTTGATAATGCCAAATTTCTGTCCAGCTGTCAATGGGCGGAAGGCAGGATACACCCTGGACAGGTCGCCAGTCCATCGCAGGGCAGACAGACAGACAGACATACACAGTCACA